TTACGAGGAATTTGAACTGCCCGCTCACAAGAAACTCAAAGCTCTACGTGAGTCAAATCGTGCACTACAACAGTTTCAGCAAGCTTCTCAATCGAGCAATGTTCATTTCCCACCATATGTTGTTCAAACTATAAGTAATTTGCTATAGCTGAGCCAAAGCGTCAAGATTGAGGTTGCCAGATTTGTGTATCGTAGAGACTGTCATGATAACGTTTAGCGCACGATGTGAATCACGTAGAGCATTGAGTTTTCATGAGCGGGTGGTTTGAATTCACGCATCAAGAATCATTAAATATCTTCGAAAGGAGTTGATTTCGGTAAATTTCGTTGTGTGCATCGTGTTCAACGTGAAATTTTGGTTAATAAACGTTTATCAGAATGCTGAAATTCGTACCTTATCTAGTGGTCCATTCTATCTTGAAGACAGGACCTTTAAGAGGTTTTCTTTTTTTGATCGGTAGATCTGCCTAAATCCACCGATGGAAATCCATCGGCCGCCATTTTGGTACGAAATTGCCCGCGATCAGTCGGGAGTTTAAGAACACACTTTCCACCAATGTAAACAAATGGATTTCTTCCTTCAAACCTTTACCGCAATGATACTGCAATAGTGCAAATATATACTCAATGTACCAGCATTAACTCCTTTTTTGCTACAAATAAAGTACGGGGGAAAATATCGCTAAAAATATTACATAATTCAATACATAGGCGACAATGACGATCCAAGCAGAATCATCAGACTCAGCGACGGCGGGAGGCGCGAAATACTCACGATTTCTCGTTTGTTTGCTTGTTTTTGGCCTGAGATCTGGCTGAAGTAAGGTTAGGTTGTCCACCGGTGGAGCTGTGATCGGAGAAATGACCGATCACTCCGATCACTGATCGGTGGTACCAAATTCACCGGTCGTACTTCCACCGGTCTTGTCGTCAGCACCGACGGATCAATTAACGAACACAGTTTGGTGATCGGCGGTACCACCGATCAAAAAAAGAAAACCCTTTTAGAGCTAGGGTGGAAGAAGAGCTCTCAACCGGTACAGGCATGCTAGCAGGTGCTCTATAGGGTTCCGTACTAGGATCTCTATTATATAAACTATTCACAGCTGACATACCCCCCACCTACTTAAAAAGAGATCAATTATTGGGAAATTTGCTGATGACACTACAGTAGTGTGGCAATGCCAAAGAGTACAACAGAGTCGCAATGTTCTGGCGCGCCGATGAAGTCACTGTATAAGGCTGTTTTGTCCAGTACTCCTGAGACAAGTGTACGGCGACTGGCGATGCCGTATGCGCGGGGTCCCAGCTCTGGTTTTCGCTCAGAAAATACAGGTATACTTATTTCATTAAAACCTGAAGTGTTGTACATTTTTGAATTTCTTGTGACTTTAATGAACACAATTGATTAAGTACTTAAAAGTGTGTTGGATATATCAGTGCTAAAGATAGCATCATGTAATGCTACCCTTTCTATCTGCCTGGCAATGCGGTATTCTGACAACAACGTCGCGATATTATCGCCGCTCACAGCGGCAACTTTGTACGGCAATGCAGCGACGCGTTGCCGGGTAACCTGCTTCCGCAATGGCAATTTGAAACTTTGTAGTGGCGAGGATACACCACCAGATCTCCGCCCTTCTTGACCTGCAAAATCAATTGTAAATATTTCGGCGGTACCTACCTATTTTTCGTATTGATTGCCAATAATGTTCCGAAGAAAATGTTCACAGTTTTTTATCATTCATAAAATTTTTATTAATCTAATATTGAGAGCAATACTGAAAAATGTATGGATACGATCTTACTACTAAATATTTCCGGAAACATGACAAATCAATGTTTTTGCAATATGTTTAATTAATATCGCTGCAAATATTGCAATATAACGTTTATTTTCAACGTTTTAAAAACATTGCAAATATGTATCCATTGCTTTGCGCTTTTTTTAAAATATTATTACAATGTTCTTGAAACGTTACTGTGGATATATTGCCGCGCAAAAATGACATCATCCAACTTTTCCGGCCGGGTACTGAAAAAAGACAGTAACTTAGATGCTACCGATTTGGCTGTGGGAAACATCCTCCGCATTGAGGTTACCTCATTTTCCAAGATTTTCTCTTTCACGGCTTTTGAATGATGATTCTTCCACTTCTACGAATATTTTATGAATATGCCTAATTTTGTTTATCTCACATTAAAGGTTTGCCGGGGCCGAGTGGGTTACCTGGATTGCAAGGCGAAAAGGGAGATCGAGGAGCACCTGGTATTCCAATCAGCGTTAAAGGTGACAAAGGAGAACCGGGGGCCCCAGGACTATCTGGTCTGCCTGGCGAGCCTGGACCTAAAGGATTTGATGGCATAACAGGGCTTCAAGGAATCAAGGGGGACATAGGTTTTCCTGGTCCTAAAGGCAGCACAGGGCCTTATGGATTCCCAGGACCAAAAGGTACGTCTTAATTATATCTAATCTCAATGAGAAGCAAACTATTTTGCAAGTATACAGCATCTTCAAAGTCTTCTTACCTTAATCATCAACCGAGCAGCCATCAAATTCAAACCTTCTGGAAGATATTTGCCACGAAAAGTATGAATTCCATTTAATTTAATTTTTTTTTAATATATTTTTTTCGTATTTCTTTACATACAACTATTCAATACCGGTACCTATATTAGATATATTAAGGAAGACGATCATCTCGAACCCAAGTAATGCAACAGAACCAAAAACACTTTTCTCAAAAACAGATTAACACCAAAAAGATTC